AGTTTTTCACTGTTTACCATATAAAAGTAAATTTCTTGTAGAATTTAATGCGAAAGACCTTTCACAAACAAAGTTAAAAAATCTACCCCAGTTATTAAAAATTACACCTTTTATATGAAAAGAAAACGCAAAACCCGCCAGAGAAAAATCATTAAAAATGAAAGCGATTTTTTTTAGATTTTTTAACATACCCAGAATTTTTTAAATATTTAGACTAAAAAGTTCAAAATTTAGATGACAATTTGTTGAATTTTTCTAAGTTCTGGCTACGGAATGAACCATATTTTTATAAAAAAAAATAACAAAAAAAAAACTTAACCTGAAAAACCACAAATATTTAACATAAATCAGCATGCACTCACGTTTTATCGCCAGTGTATGCATGTACATATAAAAACTTCCTTCAAGCAGCATATTTCAATACAAGTATAAGTATGTTGCTATAATTATGATGTATCTTAAATATGTAAGTCATATTTATTTAAATACTAGCTTATACCCGCGGGGGGTGAAGTTTTTATACAAATATGACAAATAATTTAATGATGTTATATTTTATTTCTGTGCCCATTTCGTTATAGCTCGTTATTTTTTAAGCGAGTTAAGTTATTTAGGCCGTTTAAAACTATGAAATTATAAAATCTCGTCTGCGCGCTAGGCATACGAAATATATCAATCCCTCTAAGTTTACTTTAAAATGGTTCCAGGGATACGACGCACGTGACCGTGTAACCTCCTTAGAGGTGCCACGGCGGGTTCTAATTCCAACTCAAATTTAGTAACCTGGCCTTGATAAAATACCACTTCTCATAGCTGTAGCAAATGCCTCAAGAGGTATGTATTATTATTATTATTATAATATTTATTCATTTTCTTACAAACAAATTAACAGAATTACTTAAGATTAACACCGCTAACATTAAAATGTAAGAAAAGTAAGGCATTCTGTAACATATATTATGATAGTGATGAATGCCATCTTTGAGTATAAATAACGGAAATGTACAGTTGTGAGTGGGGTGAAGTTGAAAGTAAAATAACAATTATATGAATGATACGTAAGTATAAGCCTCAAGAAGTGGAAATTTCAGATTTACGGTTTACGGTTTATAAGGTACCAGTTTCGAGCAAAATCTTGATTTCATTGAGTGAATGGTCTAATAGAAAAGCTTTTACGTTTGCTAAAAATTCGCACAAATTCCTAAGTAAACGTATTTTGACAGGTAGGGCGTTAAACAACTTAAAGGAAACTATGGTAAAGAAGCTTTTGTAATGAGTAGTACGAGATGTAAGAACATTAACAAGGCTAAGCGTNGTGGAAATTTCAGATTTACGGTTTACGGTTTATAAGGTACCAGTTTCGAGCAAAATCTTGATTTCATTGAGTGAATGGTCTAATAGAAAAGCTTTTACGTTTGCTAAAAATTCGCACAAATTCCTAAGTAAACGTATTTTGACAGGTAGGGCGTTAAACAACTTAAAGGAAACTATGGTAAAGAAGCTTTTGTAATGAGTAGTACGATATGTAAGAACATTAACAAGGCTAAGCGTGTTTTTCCTCAAGTTATAACTATCGAAGATTAAGCTTTGTAAATAACCGGAACGAAGGAAGAATACCTTTAGAGTCCTGTAGTAGTACATGTGTTTTATTGGCAGAATTCCCAGGTCCCTAAATAACTCCATGGAATGGTGAAATCGGCTAACATTACAAATTTTTCTGACAATACATTTTTGTGTAGTCAAAAGCGGCTGAATCTTATTAGTAAATGCACCGCGCCAACAACTTATACCATATTGAATCTTAGAGTGGACTAGAGCGTAATACAGAGTCTTCAGGGTTGCGTTTGAGCAGATCTTTCTAAGGTTATAAAAATGACGAGCTGTGGATTGCAAGTATAACTTTAAGCGAGAAGTGTGTGAGGCCCAATTTAAATTTTGGTCAACAGAGACACCCAGATATTGAAAATCGCTCACCTTATTAATTACGAAACACATATCGCTACAGTTCGTTCTGGAATTAAAGGAGGATTTGTCAGGGCACAACAGACTATGTAGAGCGAAACGCCTGCAGTCGGAGGAGTGGAACAAAATGTCTATGTCGGGTGAACTTTTTACATGCAGATTGAAGTACATCATCTGCGTTTTCTTACTAACAATAAGCTTATGTTTGGCGAACTTAATAAATGCACGTCATGATTGACACCCGCTACCAGATCGACATAATTCGTTGAGCCATAAGCAATGGCAAGGTCATCGGCGAAAGCGGTAACTTAAAAACGCGGTATATTAAAAACAATATTGGACCCAAAACAGACCGCTGCGGAACTCCCAAATTAATTTTGACTGAATTACTTAAACTACCACAAACCTTTACTTTCTGTATTCTCTCTGTTAGGTAGGACTTAAACCAATCATGAACAAAACCACGAAAACCTGCATAATGCAATTTGTCTAATAAAATTTTATGGTCTACCATATAAAATACTTTGGTGATATCTACAAACAGACCAGCACAATTTTTTTTGCTGTCTAATTCGCTATATATAAAAGAACAAAATTTCAGCAAAGCATCTTCCGTTGACCGCCCAGTTTTAAACCCAAATTGCATTGTACTAAAAAAGTTTTTGTCCTTAAGGAACGATATAATTCTATTTTGAGTTTTTCGAAAACTTTTGAGATAGAAGATAGCAAAGAAATTGGTCTGTAACTGTTTTTATCCTTTTTGTCTCCTTTTTTAAATAAGGGAATGACAACAGCACATTTCAAATCAGACGGAAAAGCTCCAGAGAAAACGCTTGCATTAAACAGGTGTGTGAGGACACATATTTTAAAATTATATTTGAAATTTCATCGTAGCCACATGATCTGGAGTTATTCAGAGATTTAATAATTTTTAAAATTTCTATTCCTGTAAAGGGTTTAAAGAAAACACTTCTTTCTGAACTTGACTCCACATATTGTTGCGCTAGAAATTTACAAGGAGATGTGAAAAAAAATGTTTGTCCAACTGAAGAGAAATGTTCATTAAAGACGTTAGCTACCACTCTAATGTTTGTAATAGTCATTCAAAACAATGGTCGTGTCATTTGTTTTAGAATTTCTATTCAAAATACCATTAATAAGATCCCTTTTTTTTTAGGGTTACCCTGTGAGGACCTAAACTTATTGCGATAAAAGTTATGACGTTGCAAACGGACTTTTTTTATTTTCCTACCTAAATTGCAATAACGACTACGAAGTTTATTATTGGCCGCAAGTTTACTGCAGTTTCTTCCAAGCTTATGCATCATGAGAGCTTTAGGCAATCTGCACATTAAGCGCCGAATCATAATAGTGTAATCGTTTTGGCATACTAAGGGCCGTTTTCTCATCTAAGCTTTAGATTACCGGCCACTTTATCGTCTCGATATACGAGTTTTCGTTTTCTCATCAGCGCAAATTTTAAAGCTTGCATCGAGTGAGCAACAGTTTATCGATTCGAGAAATTAATGCGCTGATGAGAAAACGAAAACTCGTATATCGAGACGATAAAGTGGCCGGTAAACTAA